TGAAAGAGTTAATTGAAGGTACGGACACCACTGCTTTGGGCAGCAGGTTCCAAGTATTGATAACTCAGTGTGGAAACCTGTATGCCACGGGTATTTTGTTTAAACTTGGCTTTTCTACTCGCATGTTATGTCCTCACTACTAAATTTTCACTATTCGTTTATCTCATTTTTTCTTTGTCTAGATGTAAATTTTATGCTTAAATCTCGATTGAATTTAATAACATTACCCATTAAATGTTTTCCCAATTATGTTGGTCTCTGACCTCATTTTCCAAGTGTGATGTGTAACATCTTAAACTGATACATATTCATTCCAGATCCTACATTGATAATAACTGATAGACTGATTGCATGACACTGATACAAAAAGTGTAATTCAGTAAAACTCAGTATAAACTTTCTTCCATCGAAAATTAGTGGGTTTTTTTCCTAGACAAAAGAAAAATTGTTTATACTCACAGGACAGATGAAATACTAAGTGATCATGTAGAGATAAACTTTATACTTAATTATCTGTATTTGAAAAGTATGACCATGTAATTAAGATAATGGTATATGTCCATGATAAGTGAATTTGTATCCTATACTTTCCCTAATATATGGACACAGTTTAAATGAATATTGAAGTCACTATTTAATCATTTAATCAATATTATATTTATACAGTGGTCTTGAATGCCGTTAGAGGTATCTAGGTTGTTTGTTCGGTTATTCCTCTTTTGTAATTTCGTCCTTTAATTTGTATAGAATTGATTGTGGTGATTTTGTTTGTTTGTGTACAAAACCTATTCTGAAAGGTTACAACAATTTCGTTGTAGTTTCTGATATGCCTTTTATATATGGTAGGGTGGTTATTACTTCCCGGTTTCCCACACCATGGGTAGGTTCTTGTGAAAGTACTTAGAAAGAAAACTGGATTTGAGTTGGTCTCAGTGGCCGCATTGTCCAAGAAACAACTACTTGGGGTCAGTCACACACCACCTTTTTGAGGATACGTTTTGTGTTGGTTCCCTACTTGTTGAGACCTTATCGCCGGAGACAGAAATCCTTAGGATAAGACGAGGTGTGCATTTTTATGGTCGACTATTTATAACCACACCGTTCACTTGCTGTCATGTTAGTTGTCTGAGACAAACATCTTACTCCCGTTAAACTTATATACAGTCAGTAGTACAACTTCGCCCTCGGACCTTGGGTTTTTTCTACTTTTAGTCCTACCGCTCATCAACCGACCTACCTGGTATGGTAGGACCTTGAGGAACGATTGTTCCATCCAGCATAGCCTTGTATTTCTGATATTTCGTCACTCAATGTACGCTATTTCTTCATAGTAAATAAGTGACTTAAAATAAGTCATGAAATATCAAAAATACAATTTTTCTACTAATTGAGACATAACAAATATACATCTCATACACATAAGTCCTCTTTATCATTTTGAAAAGAGCTAGAACAAAGATTCTAGTAGAATAACATGAGTTCATTTTATTTCGTCAGCATCTGACGAGAATCAAAGGAATAAAATAAGATTCATGTTATTCGGTTGGAATCCCTGTTCTTGCTCTTTTTAAAAATATATTTATTGATAAAATGGGTATTTTTAATCTGTAGATAAAATGAGTAAATCGTATGAAATTTCATAAGAAAATAAATAAACTCAAGTTTATTTAACTAGATCATAGACAGCAGGAGCAGCATCTTTACAACTGAAGAACATCCGCAACTCAAAACAACTGTCTGTCAACCAACACTAAGGTCAGAATTTTCAATACAAATGTCAAGACAGTTCTACTGTATGGGGTGAAAACTTAGAGAACTACGAAAGCCATCATCCAGAACATACAAGTGTTTATTAACAGTTGTCTACGTAAAATACTTCTTATCCGTTGGCCGGACACTATTAGCAACAACCTACTGTGCAAGAGAACAAATCGAATCCCAGTGGAGGAAGAAATCAGGAAGAAGCGCTGGAAGTGGGTAGGACACACATTGAGTAAATCACTGAACTGCGTCACAAGGCAAGCCCTCACATGGAACCCTCAAGGCCAAAGGAAAAGTGGAAGACCAAACAAAACATTATGCCGGGAAATGGAGATAGACATGAGAAAAATGAACAAGAATTGGATGGGACTAGAAAAGAAGGCCCAAGACAGAGTGGGTTGGAGAATGCTGGTCGGCGGCCTATGCTCCATTAGGAGTAACAGGTGTAAGTAAGTAAGTATAGACAAGAATTTTAATAATTGGTTTTACAGATTAAAATATTGTTCCCTTCTGGTCCCAAGCCCGGGTAAATGAAGAGGGTTGGTTGTAAGATTGACAACTCCATCCCGTAGAAAATAGCCTTTCCAAAAAACGCTAACCATAGTTAGACAATATGCCACCAATACGGTACATAGAAAATGTCTTACATCATAGATAAGTTTACGTATTGATTACGTTTTATACTTGTCAGTGCGATTACTATATTTGTTATTGTGTGGTTTATGACTAGGCCCAAAATCTAAAAAAATAAGACAAGCAACACCCAATCGCTTCATACTGTTGATATACTGTAGTGAACAAAAACACCAATGGGCACAATCGAATGTATTTAGGCACATAATTACAGAGCATCTAAATAAAATCTGAGAACCATATATTAAATCGTTAATTCGCAAAATATCAATCCATCATATCAAACTTGACTGTTTCTGTTGCAAACATCAATTCATTGTCTCAGATTTCATTGTTCATGCGTTTTCCTACAAATCGCATTGTGTTTCCGCTCTTACTTTCTTGATCTTCCCCCATCCTCTGCTGCCAGACATTACGTTCCTAACTCGCATCATCTACTACTTATATCAGTATAAGTAGCGCACACCACAATACTACTACTGTAAACCTTGGCAACACATTAATAATAACCATATTTGTATTTATTATTTTAACACATAGATATTGGTACAAGGAGGCACCAAATACATATGCGCCACACAGATCTCATTTAATACGTGTGACGGCTGTGATACAGCCCAGGTGCCTAAACCGAAGCATATTTTTGGTGACAATTGTCATTGATCAATAGGATAACTACAAAACACTTTACTTACCATTTCTTGTACTACTTAATATAATTCAGTAACCTCAGATACATTTACATTATAGGCCATCAATTCTGCTAGTTGAATGACAGCTGAACAGAAAAGCTAAGAACTCATGGATCTCAAGTCAAATATTTAGGCGACTATTAGGCCATAATATGTTTGATTGATTTTCCTAATGACCTTACAGAATAATATGATCATTTTATGTGAGTTTGTAAGATAAATTACGTACATATCGAGTGATTTATTGAATCGTGAGTACTTGCAAGACTTGATTGAAACTCATGTATGAATTTCATATCAATGTAAGAGACTATTCAGAAATCGAGTCAAGAAACGAAAACGATTGATACTTTACTATGAAGACTTAAATGTATATTACTTCGATGGGATATTTCAACACTATTTTCTTAAGTTACTTTGAAGTGCTTAGTCAAAAAATCTAATTAAACTAGGATTCAAATAGATTTCAGGAATACTTTCAATTTTATAGACTAAAATGGAATTGAGTTTTCCTCAATTAATTAGTTTCTAACAGGTCCCCGTTATTATCATTGCTAATAATCATAGTATGTATCATTGAGATCATGAAACGATCAATGTTAGACCACCATTGAAAACCTGCAGACACCTTAGCAGTGTGCATCCACGGTCTCAAACACGGGACTCAAAACTATGGCCTTAACTCTCGAGTGCAAACGCCTTACCGACGGTGTTAATGTATAACTTCAACTGCTAATCATAGTATGTACGATATTTATGATTTTCCATAGATTTAAAATGAAATTCAGTGAACGTGATAAAGATATATGAATATTCCTAGGTTGTATTCACCACAGACTGATATTAACTGGTATACTAAACAGACTTACGTCATCAATATAGAGCCTAACACAGCTGTGCATTGGCCCAAGTTATCACACTTGATTACCACAATCAACTCGTGATATAGCGCGACGACCATTCAATCCCAGTAGTGACGACCACTCCACTCACAATACGTATGAAAAATATACACTCTGAAATACTAAGATTGCTAGTTACGGACAGATACAAACAGCACTCTCCAAATGGATTAAGGATTTCAATCAACGATATAAAAAATTCAAAAAATTATGCAGTGACAGGAGGGCCATCTATCGTTTATACTGACGAAATCATGATACGCATGCAATCTTGACATGGTGGAGATTTGTAGCTCAGATTAGTGATTGGTTATTGTGTGTGTCCACACATTCGACGGGAAAAGTGTTGAGATCTTGGACAGAGACAATTCTAAAAACACCAGAATTTTTAGAAGCTCGGCATTTAGTTCAATCAGCAATCAACAAACACATTGAAATCGATCTAATTTATCAACCGATTAGAAAAATTATAGAAAAACATAGGACCAAAAACCAAATCAATGGGAGATACAACTAAAACAAAGAAGTAAACAATGACAGGTTAACGACCAACAATAACCAATCAATATCGAGGTATACACGACAAGCTGTGAACAATGTGTAGAGAAATTTGAACACTTCACTTCTACCTGATGTTTGTGCCGATGATGTCGTCCAGAATAACGATGAAAGCTCCACAACCAAACCATCCAGACCAAAGGAAAAAAATTCAATCAAAAACGTACGTGATCTCCTGTGCTTCGGAATCATCACAGTTCATCATTCTGATGATTACTAATGACCTGAATTTCACAAAAACGTCTGTGTACACGATTCTATCGAAAAGTTAGAAGAAATTGTGCGCGAAAATCGCCCCGATACTCGCAAAAATATGACCGAAATTCGGGGAAGAAGAAAGATGCAGTTGATTTTTGAGGAATTTCAAGAGTTATAATGAGTAATAGAAGTAAAGATGGAACAAGTGTATTCCAACAGGTATATCAATATACTATTATGTTACCACAAAACTAACCTGTGTTCTGTGGCCGGTATACTGAATCCAGCTGTTGGGCAATTATAATACCTCCTGGCGAATAACAAGGCAACCAAACTGTCAGTTCCTTTGAAATTCACTAAATGTGCAGTGCCACCAATTGCAGCAGACTGTAATGTATAAGTGGAAAATAAAATCACAATTATCACAAAGTTAAATGACCAAGAGTAAGGTGGTGGTCGGAGGTAGACAACAGAAAATCCTGTAACTAGGTTTTGTGCTACTAACTAGCTAGCAGAGTTTACCAGTAATCTTGAGGAAATCGAAGCTCCCTGTGGCATTCGATCCCATATCAACAAGCCTCACATTCAGAGATGTTATTTACCACTGGGCTGTTTGAACTGTGACTGACCTTCTGTAGGATTGAGATGCATTTGCAATCGATTGATCAAGTTCTATCGATTAACAATAAGGACTTGATATACATTGTTATTGGTCGTAACTCAGTGACTAATCAATAGTAAGTAAAAGTAAGATGGATAAGAATTTAGGACATACCACTACGTATTTTCTCTAAAACGACAAATAAAACGAAGCTACATTCACTTTTGAAGTCGAATGCAGACTCTTCAATGTGACAAAAAATCTAATACGTCACTAAACGATTTCCAACCAAATCGAATTTTAGGACATAAAACGAAAATTAGAAAAGGATGTTCTAATTATACTAACTGCCATTAAATAGCGATGGAATTTCATGTATTACATGATGTAATACGGTTACTCAAAACATCGTAACTTGTATATATTCTTTAAACCTAACAAACACAAAGTCACTGAAAAAAGTTTGTTTCCACTGATTTAAAAACCATAGGATTAACATATTCTCAATCTAATATGCAAGTATGATTTGTACTCAGCCGAAAATACAAACGTTTCTGTGAAGTTGTGGACTACTAATGGTCATTAAATCGAAATTATTTAATTATTTAAACACAAATGGACATGTTGGTAGATGCAGATTACTTGGTTGACGTCCACGTGACTACCGTAACCAATGGTTGGAAACTCTTGATGATATGGCTCAGAATCTATCACAATGGCGTCGGTGTATACACTCTTTGTCATCCCTCAAACAGTGAGATTAAAATCGCCTCATATATTTCTTTCTATTAACTAATTTCTTTCCCTGTATGTCTTTATATGCAATCATTATTTTATATATTACCACCACTGAATTAACTACTTCTATGAATCCGGTGTTCATGTTGTTGTGCTAATGAGGTATGGCAACTTGGGTCGATGTATAAATGTGCCTGGTTCTACGTTGTAGCTGACTGACTGACTGACTGACAAATGGACACCAAAATATATATGCACCACACAAAGTAGATATCATTAAATTTGCGAATAGGCTAGAATACGACCCGATCATCCAAACCGACCCGAATTAATGATAAGTGAGGAAGTCAAGTGTCGATCACCACAGTTATCTTTGGGGTCTCATCAGTCCTGATGAACTGGTATCTGAGGAAATCTCGGGACAGATCCAGAAAGCTTGATTGATTTTCACGTCAATTTTTCCAGGCAAGATATCTGTCTGTAAACCAGATGACGAGTTTACTGTCAAGCAGTTCGTCACATTCTATCTTATAGGTGTGAAGTCTGTTCATTAATACTAGAGGACATTCTTAAATTACTTGTACTCGACCATTGCTCGTGTTTTTGGGGACCATCAATTAAGCAACGCTTGAATTAGAAATATGCTACTATGTAAAGATGAAAAAACGACTGATGACGTAGTAAATCTTTGCAAACGGAGGTTGTTGGGAACTCTTAAGCATTAAATGGTGGTTGGAGGTAGTCGACAGGAAACCCTGGACCCGGGTTTCGTGCTACTTGACACTCATCAGTAAGGTGCACCTGTAATCCTGAGGGGACCGGTGCTCCCTGACGGATTCGATCCGAGTAGCACGAAACTCGGGTCCAGGTTTTCCTGTCGACTACCTCCAACCACCATCTAATCTCACAATAATGCCCGCAGTGTCGAGTACCCTAGACTGGTCACCACATTGCAACGAAAGCTAATAAAGACTAGACACGCATGACATTGATCACCACCCAGTGATCAATCAATTGTGACTTTTAGACATAACCAGTCACAGTATAACGTGATGGATAGAGTAGGTTGGAATAAAGCAAGGAATGGTCAAATAAAAACATGAAGTTTTTAACGACTGGAATGAGCCCTGACAACAGTTGTATATTACTTTGTTGGGGTAGGCGTAACTGACAGAGATGAATGAAAAGGGTAAAGATCGTCCGCCATGAAGAACGTGCAATCCCTCTTCAACTTGCCTTAGATAGTGAGTTTCTAAATTGCTTTATTTTCTCATGATCCCAAAAGTCAGTATTTCCTTTTCAAATTGTCTTCTATACCTCGTCTTTTCTACTGCTACTAATAGCGAAATTCGTTACACTGCCCTAACATCTTAATGTGCTGATGTGGAGTGGCAAGTTGAACCGATGTAAATAAGTAGCAGATTCAACGTTGCGTTTGATTAACTGATCGAATTTCGGACACAAGTATTTGTTTGGGCTAGCTTCAATACACCACATTCAAACTGAACAATTTACTAAGGTATTAAAATCTTAGTCTAAGTGTCCATATTAACAGTCTGTTTTTATAATTTACTAATGCGAAATGTGTATTATCATATATTTCTAACTTTAATCGTTTAGCCCATTTCTTCTACCCTAATTTATATCGTATTAAGGAAAAATGTTGATCAAGTTACAAATAGTCATGTTTACCTTTAGCACATTAAATATATTTAAAAGAGGTAGACCTCCATAATAAATGGATGAAACAAGTTATTTTATAGAAGAATCTCAGTCAACAACTCATTTAAATAGTGGTATAACTAGATCACTTTCGATTTCACTAATAAGTTTTGTTAAAGTATACAGTCACTGTACAGAAGAAAAGTTCATTTTATATAGACTACAAACGAATGTGACCTTTCATTTCTAATTATCACATCGGTCAAAATTCATAGTAAGAATAACATTTTGCACTTATAAAAAACTTCACTTAAACACTTTCCTTCTACACGACAGTTAAACACTTAAAAAGGGAAAAGTTCAAAATAGAAGTTGAAATAATTCAAGTGATAGACTTACTTCAATGGAGGAGACACCTCGGAATCCAAAGTCATGTAGTCTAAATTCTGTAGAACAGTCATCTGCAGTTTCATGAAGATACTTAACAATAATTTGTTTCATTGCTCGTGAATTTGTTGCCACAGCCATCGGATACCAAACCTGTACTAATATAGTCTATATTATGTATATATAATCAGTAAATTTTATCCCACCTCAAGATACGTAGTAAGCCAGTAACACTTTGGGTCGGTATTTTCAACAGTCATTAAGACATTTTTTGTAGGCACCAACGTACCTTCAGGTACTGCCTTAATAATAATTGGTAAGTAACCTTTATGGTGCTAAAATACACAAGTTTTACAAAAGGTACAGCAAAACTAACATTAGCAATGTATCTCCACCCCTCTTCATTGAAAATATCTCTACCGAAATGGCTGAGTAAAATAGATTTTGCTTCATCAATTTTTTCATGTGTGACTACTTGACCAACTAAATTTTTTTTCAAAATATACTGCAATCCAAAAAATACAGAATTGGGAAATCTCCCGCCACGGCTTTCGAAATAAGAGTAAATAAATTCTGTGCCAGCAGGATACTGAGAATAGTGACTCACCTTGAATGTTAGAAAAAAGTTGAAACAAAGAGAAGCGACATACTTTGTATGAATCACATAAAAGGATGATATTATCAAAAGTATTTGACTGTAATCCACTCATCATAGAGAATACTGATGGCATATACGTGTATAATTGTATCTAAAAGGTGAGAATTATGTCTGATTAAACAGTTAAGATACTTTTGTAGAACATATTTCTCACATCACATAACAAATAGGCTTCCCTGAATTTAAACTGTATAAACGCATAGGATGACTAAATGCGACTAAAAAAATAAGCATTTTATGCAAAACGTTTTATTTGATGAATCGGCTGCATAAAAACCAGTTTAACTATGAGTTCATCACACAGTCTCATACTTTACTTGCCCGGAACCTGATTTATACAACATGGTCTTTCATAGTAGACAATTTAGTGCGTATAATAAGTAACTCAGTCAACTTGCTTGGAGCATATTTACAACCCCATCGACTGAACTTTTCCAGTTTGACCTAACACTAAACTTTAAGTGCATATTTCGTTATTTCATTGCACGTGGCAGATTTTTTTAAAGACATGTAGTCAAACACCCGTAATTTATTTGCATCCTTTAGACACAATTGTACAGTAGCATACAGTGAAGTATTGTGTAGTATACTCACTTGTCCACCAATAAGCAACTGAACACCAGCGACATAGGTGGTGTTTGATATAAGCTGGATGTATATTCTATGTCCCTGGAAAATTTTCATTGTGGAGCAGCTGGTGCAAACCAAAAATGTGCTTAGAAAGGTCAATCACTTCACTTCCTATTCATTAAACAGACGATTCCTAAGAATATTTTAATATTGCCACATACTTGACAAGTGGGAAGAACTCGCTAAAAAAAAATTTGGACTTCTTAAAACTAGGTATTTACCAATCATGATACTATATTTGAACAGACAGCTTTGACATCTGCATATTAAAAAGTCGAAGATGAAGGTAAGGACTAGTGATGGAGAGTATCATTATCTGACTACAATGATCAGTTCAGGTCAATTTTCCACGGAAAATTGCATAGCTATGGTACAAAAGAGTGGCGAGAACGAGCCAACCGTTATCAGTCTCATGATATATCCGAAAAACTCCATTATATATGTCTCCTGTTCGCAAGAAAACTTTTTGCTTCTAGCACGTTGGTTTTATTGCATTATTTAGTTAGATACTGAGGGATGTTATACACTGTTTCAAAACAGAAGTAAGAATTTGTGAACCTGTTGTAATCTAGTCACGTATATTTGGTTTGCGTATAAATTTAAAAATACGTGAATTTCTGTGATTTTCTCAACCAGAAGATTGCAATGAGAATAGATCTATACTTTAGGTTATATTTTTAGCTTAAAGCCATCGCGCTCGGACCCCAAAAATAGGCTAACGAAGGGGTTAGTTATGAAAGCGAGATCCTACAAAGAACAAGTAAGAACGCAAAGACCCGAGACGAAAAGCTCACATGAAGTAAAGCAACTAGAGCTTAACACAATTTCGCAAGTATTTAAACTCGAGCCAAGTTGTAGCAAAAGCATTGAACCATTAAAACAATGTCGCAGCCCTTAGATCATAATCTCCAATGATCTGAAATAGCGGACATTTACACCTTTATAACTTGCGCGTAAAAAGTAAAATGATCAAACAGGACGTTTTCATATGACGTTTGTGACTAGTTAGCTTTGTTGTTCAAAAAGGCCAGTAGAAGACGTGCTGACGTGACATTTTTTGGGTTGTTCATTTCAAACCACTCCCTTCCGAAATGAGAAAGCAGAATTGCCACAGCTTTAAGTTTTCTGGGAAAAACAGCGTATTGCTGTCACACCCCTTTAAATTTAGCGGTACGACAACGCTCTAAGTTAATACATTACTGCTTTGCGTCTAGCCGTCCTCCAACTGATGTGGATAGCATTGTACGACTCAAAAGAATATGTATTCCAGTAAGTACTTCCCGCTCAAATCATTGTGATGGGCAAGTCCGACTAGCCGTAGCAGCTAGGGTTGGGTCTATAAAGCATTACGGTTGCAGAGAGATTAGTTTGGAGTTGTGTTTTAAAAGTCATAACAACAAAAAGACTCATGCTTGTTAGGCTACTCTCTATTTGTTTTGAAACAAATATCTTGAATTTACTTTAATATATGATTAGGGCTTTATAATCATCACTCATTCTTGCATTCCCAAGTAACTTTGCATGCTACATAGCAGTGCAGCAGACTTTCAACACACATGAATACTCTTTTCCAAGGTATCTATAACCACTATATGTGAGGGCAGACCTTAAGGTAAATATCAAAAAGACATTTTCATGTGGAGATTTGTTTCAAAAAATCTAATTTAACTGACCTTAGAGTATGGCAACATAATGCTTCCTCCCTCACTCAGAACGAATATAGACACACGGAAACGTACCAACTCTGGTGAAGAACGCCTGCAAACACTGAAACTATACACACTGAAGTACAGGCGTCTCAGACGTTAACTTTTAATGACTTACAGCATCCCAAAGAATCTGAGTTGTCCCTTAAACACACACTTAAGCTTAGCTGCTACGTAAACCTTAGGGATAACACCCAGAAACTGAGAGCTCAACATATCAGTACGGACTGTAGGCACACCTACTTCTTAATTGTAGTTAAATACCTGAGTTCACTGTCTGTCGAACTAGTTCAAGCTATTTTCGGTGAGTCTTTTAAGGGAAAACTTGACATGCTCTTAAAGACTAAGGACAGCATCTCTCAATGACTTACCAATATTTTTTTTCTTTTTTATCATTAAATATACCGAAGTTATATCTGTACAAGGAGTGATGGAGTTATAAATTGAAAGGTAGGAGACTTAATACTGTATGTTTAAGATCACTTTCTTGTACATACGATCACATCACAGTTGCTTAATAATGGCATTTGTGATGTAGCATGTTGTACAATTAGGTCTAGACACCGGTTAGCGACTGTGGGAGTAATACACCGTGGTCAACGTTGTCTTACTGACGACATTTTTTAAAGTCATATCTGTTTTTGGTGCATAGGTAAATTCTTTCTTATGCTTGGGGGTTTATATATATACATTCCCAGATAACAGCATGTTACGTGGGGTAGGCCAGTTTACAGGCAATATCAAGTTGTTACAAATGCTACATGCTTTACTTTATTATTATTGGTGGTCGACAATAAGTGGAATTGAAGTTCAGAGCAGTCGATCAAAGACGTTAACTTGAACATATTAGTTTGTGCTTCTCAATATGAATCCTAGACAAATTCCGAATGTATAAGTAACGGCGCAGGACAAAATCATATGTTCCACAATTGTGTTCAGTGGTATACAATGAGGGTGCTGAAAAAGGGAGAGAAAAAGGCAAGGTCTATGAGCAGGACGGGCACTGTTCATGATTAGTGAAATTTAGTCATTTGTGAAGGAACAATTACGATATGGCTACTTACTCTCATTCTCTTTTTTCGGCCAACTTCCAAGTAAGTATACTTCCTCAGGTCAAAGAAAACAAGCCACAGTATGGAGATGAATATTACTTGTTTATCATAGGCGGCCTGCTTGAATATCTGGGCTACCTGTTCCTCCCATCTAGATATTTCGCCAAGTTATCTGTTTTCTTGTTTGTTTTAACACACTATTATGTCTATTGAGCTCACAACCTATTCAGGCACGTTTACGAAAAGTTTACAACTTTTCGCTGTACGGATTACAAAAAGGTACAACCAGCGACATCATGGTGACTTGCATTATGCATTGAAACAAATGAACATTATTCAGATGTCGATTATCGAACTCCTAACATCTAACTGGCCATCACTCAATATTTATCGTCAGGATCGATCAAGGTATAAGAAAAGGAAACTTGTTGAAATACTTTATGCTGAGAATTCAATAGTGTACCACGAATATAATGTTGAATAAAGCTTATAATAATAATAATAATAACTATATGAGTAAGGATGGTTGAATAGGAAGCTGAGAGTTTAGGACTATGCTTAGTTTTAAAATTTAGTAAGGAAAATACAAGGTTCAAATACCAACTAGCTTTTTCATCATAATTATTAAAAATCCTATATATTGTTATAACTTCCATATAGTAAGTGGATTCATATTTAGCGTAATTGTCCTGTCTTGCTTAGAATAGGATTTTTCTATGGGAAGTGAAACTAATTCAAGGTCACAACCATGAGTCAAGAGGTGTTTGGCATAAGATATCGGCATCAATACCATTGGTTCGTGACATCCCCTTTATTATAAGAAGCCGTAATTAAACAAAATGTTTTGCTTTACAGACATGTGTGGATTAAAGTTATCTCCCCACCATCACGTTTGTGGTGGCATCGGTCCCAACCACACAATCCTCAAAACCGAACATGGGATAACAGTGAAGATAGATATTTAACATTAACATGGAAAGAAGGCCTACAATTGAGAATTCAGGAACAATTCGGACATTCAGTAATATAGCATGACTGCCATACAGGCATGGTTATTCTTGTGTACCTTATCTCCTATATTCACATTACATATGTTGTTATATTTTCAGCTTAAATGTGTTCCTTAGAAACGCTAAACATATTGCTGATTGTTAAGATACGGCGAATTAGAATGGGCAATGATGTGACTTCCACGTAATGTCTTAAAGATTAGGTATTCATATCATTACAAATATACAATTTTAGGATTAGGTCTATCGATAGAGCAGTACTAATAACAAAATAGACCGTAAGTCTACATGTCCGCTGATCAGCAACGCCACTCATCCTATTTTATGATGTTAAGCTTGTAGTGACCTACTTTTGTCAACAGAACGCGATTGGTTCGATGAAAACATTTATTATTATAACCAATCGTACCAGTGATTGTTTTATTGTGCTCGTTTGTTTAACTGTGATAATAACAGCCATTTTGGTCTTCCATTGTACTCCATTACTTCTACGCGGTTTTCGACTACGCACGTACCTCTCCTTGCCGATCGCATTTGTACTCCTTTGGCACGATCTTGGTATTCTTTCGACACCACGAGATTGCCAGCAAATATATCTCAACTACTACTATTATCCGCCTCCTGATATTGGTCTACGAGGATCATTTTGGTTAATTGGCACGTAGTCTTGTAGCGTTGTTCATAGTCAAGCTCAACTCGACACCACGCTACATTTGGTGAGCCATATTTTGGAACACGCCTCAACTTCGGTCAAATCTTCTACAACTGGTGAACCTACATCTACGAACACTTGGCAATCGCAACCAAACCTTCCAAAGAAGTCAATTTTGGTGAGTCTATCGCTTATCTATCCACGTCTGTCATATATTTTAATACTAATTTTAGTATATAATATATATGACATGACGGATAACGATAAGAATGGTATTAACGTAACAGACTCTGACGTACAGGTTATACACTTTCGACCTGTATCTTTTATTCCTCACGATCCCGAAGTTTGGTTCGCAGCAATAGAGTCTCAATTCGAGACCCGTCATATTACAAGCCAACGTCAGAAGTACGTCTACGCTCTCGAATGTTTACCGGGAGACCATTTAGTAGCTGTCCGTGAGGTAGTCCTCAATTCCACTGCGCCCAATGTTTACGATCGTCTCAAGGAGGCGATCCTCAGATATTCCCTCCCATCGAGGGAGGAACGATTGAGGACGTTATTAGCACGTCACCCCCTGGGTGATGCTACACCGAGCCACCAACTCATGCGCCTGCAATCTCTTGCAGGACACACGGCAGCCGATTCTGTAATCGTTAAAGAACTGTGGCTTGAATCTCTACCAGCATTTATCCAACCTACAGTTACGGCCCTGCTCGAGGACGCACCACTGAAACAAGTGGCCCTCACAGCAGACAAAATTCTAGCTAGGACTGGTAACCGAGAAAACTACGTAGTTGCCCCAACGTCGCGTCCGAAAGTCAATATCGACAACAGCCACTCCTCGGCTCACGGTGACAGTGGAGGGTGTATTCACACACGTCTTAGTTTTCGAGACCGTTGTAACGTACCCCAACCCTACGTCCCTCGAGCCCGCTCACGCTCTTGAAAAGCCGTCAACACTAGCCCAACGAGGGCATCTTCCAAGCCACGCCAAAAGGCGGCTTCGGAAGCGGGTGTGGGTTGGTGCTGGTTTCATCGATCCTTCGGATCTGGTGCCCGCAGTTGTCGAGCCCCGTGCTCATACAAGGCGGAAAACTCCAAAGCCGGCGAGTAAAAGCGGCCGTACTCGCAGGCTCTGCCCCCCAGGTTGGCCGTTTATTTTACGTGCACGATTATCGCACAAACGCTAGGTACCTAGTGGATACAGGTGCCCAAGTTTCTGTCGTACCACGAGGTAGCATCAAGTCACAAGCTACAATGCTTCGACTACGCGCTGCAAATGGCTCAGCCATTCCTACTTACGGTACACGACAACTCGCGGTCAACCTGGGCAACCGAAGACGGTATCTGTGGACGTTCATCATTGCTGATGTCCCCACAGCCATACTAGATATTGATTTCCTACAGCACTATGAATTGCTAGTCGATTCACGTGGGCTGCAGCTAATCGATACTTCGTCGAACAGTAAATTCATGGGCTTTAAAGCCCACATAAACGCCCACCGAATCCTAGGCACTTTTTATTTGCGTGACGATAAATTCCACGCTTTATTCGAGAAATTCCACAGAATAACTAAACCACTCGAGGAGATTTCATCGATGACCAATCGTGTGATACACCACATAGTCATCCGCGGACCACCAGTCACGGCAAGTTCACGCCGACTGGCACCGGACAAATTAGCCTTCGCTAAACGTGAGTTTGACAATTTACTATCTGTTGGTATTATTCGTCCTTCTCACAGTCCTTGGGCCTCTCCTTTACACATGGTGCGCAAAAAGGATGGGGTTAATTGGAGACCATGCGGCGACTACCGAGCTTTAAACGTAGTTACGCGCTTTGACAGCTACCCATCCCCCACATACACGACATCACGGCATCGCTCAAGGGCACGACTATCTTTTCTAAGATCGATCTGGTACGAGCATATCACCAGATCCCTGTCGCTTTTGAAGATATCGAAAAACTGCTATCACGACTCCTTTCGGTCTGTTTGAGTTCCTACGAATGCCATTTGGATTAAGGAATGCTGCTCAAACTTTCCAAAGGTTTATCGATAGCAAAGTACGAGACTTGGATTTTGTTCACGTCTATATTGATGACCTGCTGATCGCATCATCAAACGTAGATGAACATTATCAGCATCTTACGCTATTATTCCAACGTCTTTCGCATAATGGAATAGTAGTCAACCCAGAGAAATGCGAATTGGGTAAATTAGAAATAATATTTCTGGGTCACATCATCAGACAAGAGGGTATTCTGCCTTGCGAGGACAAAGTTCGAGCAATCAAGGAGTACAACGTGCCGTCCTCAATCAAAGAACTGAAGGCTTTTCTCGGTTTGGTTGACTTCTACCGACGTTTCATCCCTCACGCGGCAGAACGGTTACGACCATTAACCGATTTACTACGCGGTCATCCACGCAAATTAGAATTGAACGATACCGCACGTACTGCATTCTCAGAGATCAAAACGACTCTGGCTGAAGTTACACTTCTCGCTCATCCTGACCCATCAGCCACGCTTAGTATAGCGGTTGATGCATCAGATTTTGCTATAGGAGCCGTCATGCAACAGAATATCCCCGGTAGTTGGCAACCGCTTGAATTTTTCTCACGATGCCTTACTCCCACGGAGACGAGATATAGCGCTTCTGGTCGCGAACTGCTAGCAGCCTACTGTGCCATTAAACATTTCCGGCACGCAGTGGAAGGCGTCATTTCATCTTATTCACCGACCATAAGCCCTTAACGTATGCCCTGCATACCATGTCTGACCGCTACCCACCACGAGAGTGCAGACATTTGGACTATATCTCCCAGTTCACGACAGAACTTCGTCACATTAAAGGCGAGTCGAACTATGTTGCCGATGCTCTATCACGTATCCAGACGAATGCAGTTACCTTACCGGTGCACGATCTTCCTGCTATGGCCGCCGCGCAAGCAAACGATCCTGTCTGTACAGAAGCACCACAATATTTGTCCCTTCAGTGTCAGGAAGTACCCCTAGCTGCTAGCTCAGGTACTATCCTATGTGATATTTCTACCGGTCTTCCTTGACCCATCGTACCCTCTGCCTATCGCCGTCTCGTCTTCGATGCCCTACATGGATTGTCTCATCCAGGTTTCGCAGCCATATTACGTCTCATCGCTGCACGATACGTATGGCCGTCCATGAATAGAGATGTTTGTATGTGGGTAAAGCAATGCTTACAGTGTCAACGATCAAAAGTGCACAGGCACGTGGCTGCCCCCATTGGCACGTTCGCTACGCCTGAAGCTCGCTTCGATCACGTTCATATAGACATTGTAGGACCATTGCCACCATCGCATGGGTATGATCACATACTCACGTGCATTGACCGTTTTACAAGATGGCCCGAAGCTATTCCCATCACGTCTATCACGGCGGAGACAGTTGCTCACCGCTTCGTAGAACGATGGATAGCACTGTACGGTTGTCCCTCGACAGTCACGACTGACCGAGGACAACAATTTGAGTCCGCATTATTCTCCTCACTTACTCAGCTGCTTGGTACGGAACACATACGCACTACCGCCTACCATCCAGCATCGAATGATTTAGTTGAAAGGTTTCATCGCCAACTTAAAAGTGCTCTCCGAGCACACGAAAACGATAATTGGTACGAAACCTTACCACTCGTTCTCTTAGGCATCAGAACGAGTTTGAAGGCAGATATCCAATGTTCCGCCGCTGAACTTGTATACGGCACGACATTGCGTCTGGCTGGGGAATTCTTCACACCACGGAGCAGTAATGATTTCGGTAAATCAGACTACGTCCATCGACTGTCTGCATTTATGCGAACGCTGTCTCCGGTGTCAACTCGAATACAACATCGACAGGTCGCTCTCCTTCGAGAGTTATCTACCTGTTCACATGTTTTCATACGAGTAGATTCAGTACGCAAACCTTTGCAACAGCCTTACGAAGGACCTTTTCACGTGATCTCTCGTCACGAAAAGACCTTCAGGGTTGATCGACACGGCCGCGTCGAGATCGTCAGCATTGATCGTCTCAAACCAGCACACGTCGATGACAGTGCCCTACCCGATGAATTGAGACTCAATGCTAGACCTATCAAACCTTCTAGCGGGATCTCTACGTCTACCTCGGATCCCACGCTAGATACATCAGAGACCTCGTTCTCACATCCCGGTCAACAGCACGCGTCATCTGCACCATCTACGGACGAGACTTCTGTCTCACTTCCAGATCAGCAGACCACGCCGCCCTTGACCTCGGATGAGATCGCAGGCTCACGAAGTACGAACGAGACTACCGTCTCACGTTCCGGTCGCCCAGTACGATTACCTGTACGCTTTCGCGACCAAACACACAGTCAATAACAGATACGGTGTAGGATTATTCCTATACTACACGCATGCTACACTTTTCTTTTTTTGATTTTTTTGTATCCTGAGCCCACGCCTCCGACCATCGCCCGTTTGGTAACGTCGACTTCAGTCAACTTTGGCAAAAGCTGGTTTGGCCACCCATGCACTAGTCAAGGCACTCAGTCGATTGTCTGGCCTCGAATTCGCCTGGCATACGCTTGGTTCTTATGGTCGCTTCCGGTTTCTTGGCTCAACATGGTTTCGTCCTACGTCTGCAGCGTTTTCTGGTCCGCATCCCAACGAACGCAATCATCAGATCCTGGATACAAACCACTCTGGTTTGGTATGCTAATTCGACCAACAAATACAGCACACTTCTCCTGGTACCGTTCTGCGCAAAAGACTTTCGTTGACAACTCGAGGATCAACGATCATTTCCTGTTCCGCCAATTTCCTCCGTCCTACAACCGCACTTCTGCCGATCAGTCCCACGAATCAAACCTCTAACTATCAAAAGTGTAAACCCTTTCTAGCGGGGGCCCCTGTAGTGACCTACTTTTGTCAACAGAACGCGATTGGTTCGATGAAAACATTTATTATTATAACCAATCGTACCAGTGATTGTTTTATTGTGCTCGTTTGTTTAACTGTGCTAATAACAGCCATTTTGGTCTTCCATTGTACTCCATTACTTCTACGCGGTTTTCGACTACGCACGTACCTCTCTTTGCCGATCGCATTTGTACTCCTTTGGCACGATCTTGGTATTCTTTCGATACCACGAGATTGCCAGCAAATATATCTCAACTACTACTATTATCCGCCTCCTGATATTGGTCTACGAGGATCATTTTGGTTAATTGGCACGTAGTCTTGTAGCGTTGTTCATAGTCAAGCTCAACTCGACACCACGCTACAGATGTAAGAAATTCCAAATTCATCATTAGAAGGTTTAGGGAAGTTTCAAATTAACCAGGTGTTTAACTTGATACACCTAATGTCAACTGTATAAAGTTTAAAACTTCTGGTGAATGTTTCGATAGAAACCTTTTGCCAATGATTATCCGGTGTGCACTTGTGCAATATATCGCGAAGGTGACATAGATTGACTGCTGTACCTTACCTTCACACACCACTGTGACCATGTCACCGACATTCAGCACCTTACTCCACCAACAAATAGTGATCACGTTGTACTGTACTTTATGTTTCGGACGCATAGGTATATGCTCCACCCCGTCCCGATATCTGGAGAGCTAACCTATTCTTGTCGACAGGCCATGAATCATTTTAGGGCGGATACGCATTGCAACGCAGCAGCAGTTGTGAGCCATGGTTACTTCGTTGAGAATTCAAATGCTTTGATGAGGAAAATTTTCGAATTTTATAGACCGACCTAATACCACACAGTGCTGCATCCAGGCAGTTGATCCATTTCTTATTAAGAGTACCTATTCGCTTGAGCATGTTCAGAGTGTGAGAACAAACTAAGTGAAGGATCTTTCTAAATTACCTTACGATGAGTGCCTAAAACACCTGGAGCTTCTATACTTATCGTATTGTAGAATGCAGTGTGACCGATTTGGTCGCCGTATCGTTTTGCTCCCTCCAGCACTAATAATCTTCGAGGCCATAGCATGATAGTTCAAAAACGTCTATCTAATAAACTTAGAGTGGGGTTCCGTGATTCTCAGGTTCACCCGATTCTCATTGTGTGACCAGTGACTAGAACGCCTTACCCGAGCAAGTGGTATCAGCAGGATCAGCGAACGCTTTCAAGAAGAAATTGGACCTTCACTGGGAAACAAACTGTAAGAATTAACGCAGGTATACAAACCTATCAATCCTTACTACTGAAGAGTGAAGATTGGAACCATTTGATTCGTAGGCGGAAAGCTTGGTGTTTGTGTTACTAAGAGTTGGTGAATTGCAAGACCAGTTCCTTGCTGTTTGAACGTTGTTAAATATCCAGAAATGGTCTTTTCCAACTTTTATTTTGTAGCTAGTTGAATTGTTCACTTCTGTTTTGGATCCTTAGATTGTTTCAACCTGAGACTTGTTATTTTTGATTGTTGTCTATCTATGTGCATTTTGTGGGCTTGCTAGCTCATCGACTGACATTCTCTTACATTGTCCTCTTTTCCAGTCCTCACTCACATTACTCTGCGTGCTACCCTAGTACACAAAGTACCTTCTGGCTACACACTAACCGCCACATTATTTTCAAAATGTTCCCTCTTGGTTTTTTTGTTTTATGTGCTTGGACACCCAACTTTTATCAAAGTGAGTTCAGTGAGCAGAAACATTAGGCTGAAATAGTCGCCACCAGCTATTTCGAAGGACTGTGTTGACACTGCATGACTTTATGTGCTTTAAGTCTGCTCTTGTAAAGAAAATGGATTTATACCAGTCTACGTTAATAACCTAGGTTATTTTCTAAAGTCATTTAAGTTAGCGCACCTGTTGATTTTTTGAAACAAATCTCCACATGAAAATGTCTTTTTGATATTTACCTTAAGGTCTGCCCTCACATATAGTGGTTATAGATACCTTGGAAAAGAGTATTCATGTGTGTTGAAAGTCTGCTGCACTGCTATGTAGCATGCAAAGTTACTTGGGAATGCAAGAATGAGTGATGATTATAAAGCCCTAATCATATATTAAAGTAAATTCAAGATATTTGTTTCAAAACAAATAGAGAGTAGCCTAACAAGCATGAGTCTTTTTGTTGTTATGACTTTTAAAACACAACTCCAAACTAATCTCTCTGCAACCGTAATGCTTTATAGACCCAACCCTAGCTGCTACGGCTAGTCGGACTTGTCCATCATGATAATTTAAACGGCTTACACTTACTGGAATGCATGTTCCTTTGGGTCCTACCATACCAAGCTTTTTTTCAAATGCTTTTGTTTTGAAACGGATTCACTCACCTTGGTATGATTAAAAATTAAGATGATTTTACTAAACTTAGGTCATACTTACTCTTACTGACCATTCGAATCTGACTAATTTATTAACTGAAAATCAGTTTATATTATAACCAAATGATCGTCCACAACTCTTGGACACATCTCTGCTTAGGTTTGTCTAATGTAGCTATACATTTAACACTTATGATATTTACATCTCGGAAATGTAAATTTTCGCTTTTTTTCTGAAGGCCAGTTCTCGTTTAATATACTTTTGTCCTGAAGGACTCATGAAACCTGCTTTTACACAGCCCTCATACTTAATCCATCTGCATTTACTGTCTAATGTAGGATTGAAAATAAGCAAATGATTGATGCAATCAGAATCCTTAAGTCAGGTGACAGTGACGACCTGCAAAACCTTTTACAAACATTCAATATACATTCTCGTGATGCAGACAACAATACGTTGCTTCATCATGCCTGTTTATTAGGCAATGTTAAAGCTGTACGTCTTCTGTTAGATAGCGGCGTTCATGCAAATGCCTCCAATATTGATGGACAGACTCCAATTTGCGATGCAGCTCTAAGCGGATCAGCTGAGATAATTTCTCTTTTATTAAGAAGTAAAGTTGATGTTAATCCACCATCTTATTGGGGTTCTCCGTTAATCTATGCCACACAGAATGGTAAGCTTATAGTTTTGTCATCACTATGTACTCATAGAATCTATAAATGCAATGAAGGTTTTGATAGATGCTGGTGCAAGTTTAAATTCTCCCGAACGCAATGGCCTTTGTCCGCTACACATAGCTATCCAAAGGAGATTTTATGCTGGTGTTTACCTTCTGCTTTCTAAAGGTATGTTTAGTATACATACTTTGACATTGTTTTATTATGTGGTAAAGGTTTATAGCTTAAGTAAATCCTTTTAGTGTTGGTGAGTTCTCTGGGCTAGATGATTTAATTTCAGAGCTCCCACTGTCGTTCCGGACATCATACCTATATATATATATATATATATATATATATATATATATATATATATATATATATATATATATATAATTTTATTTAAACATAAACATTGGTACAAGGAGGTACCATATAGATATGCGCCACACTTGGTCATTTGTTTTATGTGAGGGATACTGCCCGGTTGCCGAAAATCAACCAGGTACGATTTTTAGGGGACCACACCCCAAACCTTTAACCTAAACGTCTAATCCACAAGGCAGTGGAACAACGTAAGGTGATACAGCCCCGCGGTAGCCCGTAACCAACAATGAGTTCATGCGCTATTTGTTTTCTTAGTATCCTGGAGCCCATGTACACCATTCATTTGGAATTAGGGTTTTCCAACTCCCCTAGATGGATCCTACATATTCACCAACCCTGTTAAAGCTCCGGACTTTCGCTTTTCGTCCTCTCAATTTCGTGAACAATATTCCACCGCAAGAAGGCAGTAAGTAGAGCTTCCCTGCCAGTGGTTGTATGAACGTGGCCATGTGACAGCATTTCGAGAGGTAGAGATAACTCTCCTCTCTTTCGGCTGTATTTGGGGGCAAAGTTGTGATGGAGGTGGGATTCGAACCCATAATATAACATTAACTACGTTTGTATTTTAAATTCATTGTTTATAATGGTTTAATTTTTATCACGATTCCTACTTGTTTATTAGGTGCAGACCCGAATTGTGGAGTACGATTGACAACTCCTTTACATATGGCAGCGAAATTGAATGATGTCGACATAACATATTTACTTTTAGAATTCGGGGCATCTCCGACTTCCCTAGATAAAGATAACCGTACTCCAATTGATTATGTGCCAGATACGAGTCCAGTTTATCAATTATTAAAATCTGTACAAAGTGAGTTGGTTGGCAATTTATAATGCATAATATTACTTTCGACGTTTACGCCACTGCATTGTTAGCGTTCATTGAATTTAATGTCAGTTCCTGGGAGATTTACAATTTTCAGTTGATTGTATGATCTTGTATTGATACAAACCGTATGTTATTGGTTACGAGGCTTCTTCCCGACCATTGTTGCTACCTTGACGTGGTGGTCTGGCGTGCCTATCGTGATGAATCAATCGAACTATACTGGGTGGAACAATTGTTCTTCAAGGTACTACCATGCCATACAGGTCGGTTGAAGAGCGGTAAGACTAAAAGCAGCAAACCCAAGGTCTGAGAGCGAAGTCGTACTGCTGATTGTACAGAGGTGTGATGGCAGTAAGGTGTTTCCTTCAGATAACCAGCATAACACCAATGCTGCCTTCCCACAAGGAGGGGTGGGGTTAGAAAAGGCCGACCGTAAAATTGCACACCTCGCCTTATCCCACGGATATCCGTCTCCGGCGGTAAGGTCTCAACAATTGCGGAGCTAACACGAAAACTACCCACAAAAAGGTGGTGTGTGAATGACGTGAAGCAGTTTTCCCTTGGGTACTGCGGTCACACTCTCATGTCTCTAAGACCAGCTTTAATCCAATTTCATTTTCAGGTATCTCTAGAAGAATCCTTCCACGGTGTGGGCAACCGGGAAGTGATAACCGCATTCATACCTCTAACACCATCCAATATCACTGTATTCATAATCCTCCTACATCGACTCTCAACACTAAACTTCCTCTTTTGCCTACCTCCTCAAGTGTCACCATAGCCAAACCAAAACGTGGCATCAGTGCTTGAAGTCACTAACTTGTAGTCTGAGCCATCTTGGTAGATGCAGACTACTTGGTCGGGGTCCGCGTGATCATCGTAACCAATAGTTGGAGACTGTAGGTGAAATGGCTCAGAATTGATCACAATGGCGTTGGTGTATGCACTCTCTGTCTTCCCTCAAACCGTGAGATTAAAATCGCTCCATACCTTTCTTTCTACTAACTAATTTTCTTTTCCTGTACTGTGTCCTTACATACAATCTTTGTTCATGTTGCTGTGTTAATGAGGTGTAACAACTTGGACCGATGCACATATGTGCCTGGTCCTACGTTGTAGCTGACTGACTGACGAGGCTTCTTGACTATAGATCGTCACTTTCATAACCCCGTCCTCACGTATTTATCGTCAGGTCGAGATTTTTCTACCGAGAAGTAAAGCTAATTGTTTTTAAGCAATCATATTTAATCTTCACGACCCGTTGCGTCGAGAACAACTTTTAGACCCTGAGTATGCGGATGATATTATCTTACTGTGCGATGATACCAAAACCATGCAATCCGCACTTAATCAGCTGGCGATCAGTGTCCGTAGGTATGGCATGTGTTTTGCACTTTCTGAGTGCAATGTACTTGAACGAATCTGGCAGGAGCTTAAACCTCCACTCGTGGTAGTAACCAAATAGACGTGATCGAGAAGTTTGTGTATCTGGGTAGCTATATAAGCACTAGTGGTGGCGTGAGCGATGAGTTCGATTCATGTGTAGTGAAAGCCAATCCGGCTTATGCCAATCTGGACGACCTTTGGCGGCTTCATGGTGTTAGTCAGACTGTAAAAGGTCGGGTCTACAAAGCGTCAGTGAGAGCAGTTTTGCCTTATGCTTATGAAATATGGCTTCTCTGAGTTGAGGATTTTAAACGACTGTTTGGTCATCGTTGTCTCCAATGAATTACTGATATTTAGTGGCAACACCTAATTAGTAATACAGAGGTTTGGCATCGTGTGTTCTGTCACAGCAATGATAATTCAATTAGTGTCGCCATCTTGAAACAGCAACTTCTGTGACTTGGACATGTGCCACAGATGTCGTCTCAACGAATCCCATGTCATACATTATTTGCCGATGCTGCAACTGGTTGGGAAAAGCGGAGAGGTGGTCAGTACATGACATGGTATCGTAGTACGAAAATAACTTTACAGGAGTGGTTTGTGTTATACCTTCACAACTCCCTGGTTGTGGTCCTAGCTAGAGATCGTGCAACATTGGGTAGAGTCAGTCAGCTACAACGTAGGACCAGGCACATATTTGCATCGGTCCAAGTTGCCCTACTGCATTAGCACAGCAAGATGAACACCGGATTCATAGGGGTAGTTAAGTCAATGGTGGTAATATATAAGAGAAAGATTGTATAAAAGGATATAATACAGGAAGAATTAGTTAGTAGAAAGAAAGATATGAAGGGATTTTAATCTCATAGTTTAAGGGAAGACAGAGAGAGACGTTATCAGAAATAGCTCAGAATAGAAGCCAGTGACAATCCTGCTGTAATTTCTCTTTACATTCTTCAAGAATGTGAGGTCTGATTGTATTTTTTTCTAAATGAATTACTTCCATTATCACTACTATTATTTTACTCTTATACACTAATTCCTATTGTTGTTTTTGTTTACTATACTTTCCTTTCCCTATCTCTTCACAGTTTCACTTTTATTGTGTGGTGCAAATGTACTTTAATTCCCCCTTGTATCTATGTTTATTTGTTCAAATTAATAAAATAAATATTGATCGGCAATTACATCAGTGCTTGGGTTACAGGTTTGGATGACTATCCATGGGTTTCGATTTCGGGGAACGGAGAGTATCACTAAACCTCCTCACACATTAAAAATGTGATTCATGATCTGCTAAATGAGTCTATACTTTATTACTAAGTTACGTTAATCTTTGTCAATCCAGTCAGCTATACGCAACCTGCCATATGTGCACCGGTTCAATTTGCCACTTCAAATTAGCACTATGAGATTATTGAAACATCAGCAAGTTTCGTTTCTAATCTTATAAGCAGACGCACTTTCTCCAAAATTAAAATCATCTCTTAATACCATGTTCCAAGGTATTGTTTACTAATGATTGCTAAATCTGTACTTGTACCTCAGTCTAGCGTGACCTAATTTCACTTCAGTGGTGTTCCAAAGTTTACACTCATGACTAATTACTAAATAGTGAGTTGAAGGAGATTTCTTGAAATAGAGGAGGGTTGACAGTGATGAAGGAATATATTGAGTTGCTTAGTAACTTAGTAGAAAAGTAATGTTCTCCGTAAATACAATGTTAGTTCACAAAATTATCGATTGTTTCTTAGCTGTATTAAAATGTGAAGACTTCTTACTTGTGACTTCCTCATAAGAATTATGCTCTATAGTCGGAGACCTTACTTGACATATCTCAAGACTGGCTTTTGTGGCACAAATACATTTAAATTCTTTATTTTGACTCTAAATTTATGCTAATGTAAAGTTTGGTTACTTCAACTAATATGCACCTCTGGCAGATATTTATATGTATGTTTTTGTTTGTCTAATTAACAACATAAGTTTGATAAGCCAAGATGGATCGTGGCTAGCAGTGGAAGCTAGGATGCACGTTTCGTCCTATTTCGGACTCGTCAGCCTGATGTACCTGCACTCTGGGATTCGAACGCAGTACCGTTCGCTCCAAACGCCATCACGTTATCCACTCAGCTACTGAGTCCTTATAGCCACTTGCTTGTGCAATGGTACAATCGATTCCACTGCTAGCCACTGTCCATCTTTGCTTATAAAAGCTTGTGAATTAAGGCAATATCGAGGCATACGTACAGTATGCACATATGCCAATAATAGACTGATCAATTGCGGTCTCAAAAACCTCAATGGGAAGATGCAAGCAAAACAATACCAAGTGAATATAAACTTCATCCTATTTCACAAGCAAGTGGCTATCACGAATTAAGAGCTAAGTGGATAACGTGATGGCGTTTGAAGCGAACAGTATTGAGTTTGAGCCTCAGAGTGAACACCAACTCAGATTCAGGTACATCCAGATGGCGAGTCCGAAATAGGACGAAACACGCGTTTTGGATTCTACTGCTAGCCACTATCCATCTTTTCTTATGAAAGCTTGTAAATTAAGGCAATATCGAGGTATACGTACAGTATGTACATATGTCAATAACAGACTGATCAACTGCAGTCTTAAAACCTCAATTGAAAAATACAAGCAAAACAATACCAAGTGAATATAGGTCTGATGAATTTATTATGTACAATCTGTTCTAAGACTTCATTTGTCCAACTTCTTGTTTTAATCAATTCATTTAGTTATTTTTTCTACTAAATTATAATATAAACTATTGTTTATATTACTCTATTCTCTCTACAGATCAAGTTCCATCATTACAATCTATTTCAAGACTGACTATATTTTCTTTATTACGTTCTGCTAAATTATCACCAGTTAATGAACTTTACTTACCAAATATTTTAAAGGATTATCTTTCATTTCGTCATTTTCATTTTGTAACTGAGTAAATAATATCGAACGAATCTATCCTACTTACCTCCTTACCTACCTACCTACCTACCTACCTATCTATCTATCTATCTATCCACACATCTATCTATCTATCCACACATCTATCTATCTATCTATCTATCTATCTATCTATCTATCAATCCACACATCTATCTATCTATCTATCTATCTATCTATCTATCTATCTATCAATCCACACATCTATCTATCTATCTATCTATCTATCTATCTATCTATCTATCTATCTATCCATCTATCCCTGTGACAATGACAATCCTATTGAATATTTGATGATTATATAATATCTATTACTTTAAGTTTTCTATTTACATTGTTTATTGATATATATATTGTTCTGTTTTGTATAATTTAGTCTTTCATGTTATCTTTTCCCTAAGCAATAATATTTCCATTCGTTTTAGTTATTTTCATTTTATGTATGATTGATTTATTTGATTAATTTTGTTTCATTCTTATATTTGTGTATTTGGCTAAGAGACCAAAAACAAAAAAAAGTTTTAGTTTCATACTCTCTATACAATGTAAATGGTACTTGGGGGTTCTAATTGTACATGAGTATGTATGTATGTGTGTGTGTGTGTTTGTTTGTATGTGATAATAGTAAGTATTGATGTTACTGATTTCTGTTTTCATCATACATGACAATTTTGTTCTTGCTTTCAATAACTATTTTCATTGATTTGAAATGATTTTTTTTTCTTCTGTTTTTTGTTCTCGTTATTGTTGTTTCTTTTGTTACTGTGTATGTGTGTGTGTATATGTTGGACTCAAAGAAAAGTTGATTATTTTCATATCTCATTATATTGATTGAATTGAATTTGTTGATTTGTATTTATGTCTATGTTGATCCCATTTTTATTATTCATATTAAAGTTGTTGATATTAATAAGTTAATGATAAGATTCATTGAATAAATATATCAAATAATGGTCATTATTATATTATATATGAATTTTGGGCACCATAAAAAAAAATGTATACATCATACAAATAGAGAGATAATATTATAAAGAACTAAGTAATGGAACTGGATGAGTACAATGAAAGAAGTAAGTAAATTTAAAATGATGTATAATATAAGATAAAGATCATTTAGATGAACTTCTTTCACTAAAGGGAGTTCTCCACAATTATATGATTTATTTATTTATTTATTTATTTTAACACATAAGTATAGGTACAGGGAGGCACCAAATACATATGCGGCACACAAATCTCAATTGATTTGTGTGAGGGATGTGATACTGACCGGGTGCCCAAACCGAAGCAGGTGGTTTTCTTAGGGGGCCACACCCGGAGCCTTCGACCTGAACGTCTGACCCACAAGGCAGTGGAGCATCGTAAGGAGATGCAGTCCTATGGTAGTCGGTGACCAACGATTGGTTCATACGCCATTTGTTCCCGCAGGATACTGGAGCCATCCCATGTGCACCATTGGTTTGGGGTCCGGTTAAAGCGCCAGACATTCACTTTTCGTCCTCTCATTTTTGTAAACAACACCTCCGCCACGAGAAGGCAGTGAGTAGGACTTCCCTGGCAGGGGCTATATACGCATGGCCATGTGAGAGCGTTTCGAGAGGGAGAGGGGACTCTCCCCACTCTCGGCCGTACCAGGGCATTTGGGGGCACAATTATATGAAAAATGTAAAAACTACTGCACCCATTAATCTTTGTATTTACATCGATCTCAAGCAGTGTTTTAGTTACACCATACTTTATTCTTACATTTAAATGTAATTTGAATGTTGATATGATGAAAAGGAAAGTCAAAATTCGATTGATTTACTCATTATGAATTTTGTTCAAAATTACTATCGTTCTGATTCAATGTGATGATCATTCAATGTAGTTATGGTGGTCGGTGTTCGATATATTCCTTGAACTTCGTATACAGTTCGTCTTGGTAACCGTCACTAAATAACGCTCCAATGGTATATTAATCAGAAGGTGAATACGAAGTGTTGATTACGTTTATTATGGGACCACACACAGATATCCAAAATTACAGATGCGTTAAGCTAGCATGAAAGAGTTGTACCGAAAAGCAAACAGGCAAGAGAGCGAGCGAGAGAGAGCAAGAACAAGAGATCAATGAATATGAATAACATGGACATATATACACATAGTGAAGTGAATGAATCATGGAATCAATTAAGAGGTTAATAGTAAGGTTAGTAGCGTGAATAAATGCGTAGGCATTAAGCGATGCTCAAGCATACATGTTCATACATTCGCAACAATAATAAAGATGCAATGATATAGATAAGTTGTTGCTGGAAAGATGACTCAATTCGTTAATAAAATGACATAACCGAATTAAATGTGAACAAACTCAATCGCACGTGAGCTGTTATATAGTATTTGATTTGTTTTCCCGTATGACCTTTTTATTCTGTATAATATACGGATATTCTTGTATTCAGTTGACATGAACTATGCCCAGTAAGTGAATTTTTATAACTGATTATGTGATATAATCCTAATTACTAATCAAAATTGGTGTACAATCAATGTATAAATGAGTGTATTTTAGATTAGGATCGTCGTTCCTGTTATCATAGTGTTTTGAGGCTAATAAATCTTCACTTATACCAGTCTTTGTGTTCTTACTTTTGCGTCGTGGGGATTACAGAGGTCTATCGTTCCGAATATAAGTGATCAGCGTTTTTCCGACACAGCAATCAGCGACGACCAGATATAATAGATGTCTATCGATTGCTGATTGACTTGAATGGTAAGCCTCTCACAAATCTCTGATCAATTTTGTCACTATTCAAATGTCCATTATTTTCCAGCTCAATCCCAACATTGTCATGATTTTAACGTCTAAAAAATACTATGAAAGCTTTACAATTAAATCATCCAGCTCACTAGATTTGAACTTCACTGAAATCATTCCCCTGAACTACAAATCACCATTTTACTAAACATTATCCCATGTGAGTTGGTCAGATTATTTTTTTAAACACCATTTACTTAATGTGACCTACATGAGAGAACTCCATACATGAATTTTAACCGGGAGAAAATCGTTCTAAACTTCTACTTTACGACTGTTGTTTTACTACCCAACGTAACATCTCATCGGCAGTAGTAAATTCCAAATAACAGCTTATACTACTAATAAGTAGTCCAAATATTCCTAAACAATTTATCCGGGATTCACTTAAAATGATCACTTCTTGAAGTAATAGTAAATCACTAATTCGATCCATTGTAAATAGTATGTGTTAATTTGGTATATTAGTCGAACTTTTTGTTTGAAGTTCAAAAATATCCTGACTTCAAAGTTTTACAGTCTAGATGACACAAAGTGTATAACTTCATTTGGATGGATGATATGTTAGCGTTTGAAACAATAAGTTTCTAGGTTCGGGTCTCATATATAAACATTAACATTAATGATACAGGTACATTCAGTGAATGTGTCCAGAATAGAATGTAACATGCACTGTAAACTAGACTATTAACTGTTGCCCAGATTTATTTCCATGATTGTTTTGCTATAACTTCATAGTGAAATGAATTAACAATTCAAGAACCAGTTATGAACTTTTCAAAAACAGTCGCTTGTTCTTATATTATTTGTCTTTAAATAGCTTAACAGAAATACCGATAAAGTTAATTGATGATGATTCTCTTTGTAAAGCACAAACTGTGGTTATGTAGGTATTGAAATCTCTGAGAATTCTATCTTTAAATAAATGTATGGTATCAAATAAAGTGATTATTACTACCATTCTTATTGCTATTATTGGTATTATTAATGATCTGATCAGATAAATTTAGTCAGGTTAATTATGTTTTTCCCTTCAGAAAGATTAGTAGTTTTATTTGTATGTTGGATAAGACGACCGCTGATTTAACAAATACATGATTGTTTCAGTCAGTCCGTAACAACGTAGAACTTCGTACGTACGTACGTACATCAATTCACGTTTCCTTACCATATTAGCACAGAGACACAAGTGTCGATTCGAATCCCATAGTGTTAGAAGTAGTAAAAGTATAAGCAGTAATCGAAAAGATCAGGGTTTGAAGATGTTATTCAAGGAGTATAATCCAGTGAAATTTATTTCGAAAGAGAAAACAAAGAGACATGAAGAATTGAGAAGATTAGAATTTGGGAAAACGCAAACATTGATTGTTTAATAAATGTAACATACAGTATGTGAACTGTTTGGATAACAATTGTTTCATTTGTCAAGTAATATGAATCCCATTAATTTTTTTTAAAACTTTTTAATACACTACCCACTTTGACATTGGATTGTTGGAAATAATCGTTTAGGAACTTCATACTAAACCCTACATTTATTTGGCACATAGTCTTACAAATCATTCGCGATTGTAATAGCTCTTTTGTAATATCTTTAACTGTGAAATTGGATGGTACGGGTTAAACTTTTACATAGATTATCTTTTAGCTCAATACTTTGAGTACACCTTATATCGATCTCAAATCGATTTCATTCGTTCTGTATATTGTAAGCAGTTCTAGATAGGCTTTAAAGTATTTGACTCGTATTGATTCTAAATTTATTCATATTGGTAATACTTACTTATTGATCAGATTTATAATAGTAAAAACAGCTTACTTACTTACTTACTTACGCCTGTTACTCCCAATGGAGCATAGGCCGCCGACCAGCATTCTCCAACCCACTCTGTCCTGGGCCTTCTTTTCTAGTTCCATCCAATTCTTGTTCATTTTTCTCATATCTATCTCCATTTCTCGGCGTAATGTATTCTTTGGTCTTCCTCTCCTCCTTCGACCTTGAGGATTCCATATGAGGGCTTGTCTTGTGACGCAGTTGGGTGTTTTCCTCAATGTGTGTCCTATCCACTTCCAGCACTTCTTCCTGATTTCTTCCTCCACTGGGATCTGATTTGTTCTCTCCCACAGTAGGTTGTTGCTTATAGTGTCCGGCCAGCGGATCTGAAGTATTTTGCGTAGACAACTGTTAATAAACACCTGTATCTTTTGGACGATGGATTTCGTAGTTTTCCACGTTTCCGCCCCATACAGTAGAACTGTCTTGACATTTGTATTGAAAATTCTGACATTGGTGT